GAGTGCAGTCCTCATTATCATTGCTGAGAGAGCCTCGTTACCAGCTTGAGTTCCAGGGTTCTAAAGCTAAGGCCTAACTAAGGACATGCTCCGGTGCCCCTCGTAAAGCTCCAAGTTGTTTGACCATGAAGCTACTCTTCCATGAAAACACAGGCCAATGTGCAATTCCTAGACTAAGGTTGAAGCATATGTGGGTAGGCACGACATGGCTTGTAAGCACCACGATGTCGTGCCTAGTGAAATTAGACTGCTTTTCTTTTGGCCAGAACCATTTGGTCACTATAACTGCCTATAAGCTTGGGTAGGTCTAAGGGTGGCTTGGGCTGGGGCTACTTGTCCTCGTGGGCGGCACGATAGATATACACTTGCGAATTAGAGGGAATGATCGGATAATAGACCTAATCAAACGTTGGATCGACCAGAAAAAGTGATCGAATTAAAATCTTTAGCCCGAGCTCGACCTAACGCACTGGCGGGACGAGCTATTTCTCTTGTTCTGTTGGATTTTCGTGCTTTGAGTCAACTTTTTTTGTGTTGGGTTGGGCCACGAGTTGAAAATCATGCCCCGAACCCGATCCAGGTTAGGTTAGGTTCGTTTTTTAATGGATGAGGTCAAGTGGTCCATAAACATGTCTACAAGATAAGACCTCTAACTAACTATGCTTTTACCGATTTACGAGTGCTTGGGTTTGCGGGCTGATGGACACATGCCCAAAGACCCCATATCGAATGGTTGGTAGATTAGTGGGTGCCGTGGCCTCCCTCAGGCCGATCCGACGCCAAATAGAAATCTAGTTATGTAATTCTGTTTCATCCTCAGACCTTGTTTAGATACTGTTGGATTCACTTTAATCTACGTATGTTGGGATGGATTGGGTTAGAATTTCCCAACACACATGAATTGATGCGAATTTGACTACATCCCAACAAAGCCTTAATCGCAAAATTTTTGTTTCATCCTTGCGAATTGAAGTGAATTCTACATCCCAACAAAGCGGAGGTACCTTTCGATGGGCTAAAACCAGCCATCGTCCCTCCTTTTTTCTCGAAATTTTTATAAAAGTTTCATCCTTGCAGTTGAAGTTGAAGTCGAATTCCACGACTCCGTTTGGCCCGGCTGAAACCATGAGAGATCCAACGGCCCACGAAAAATAATATGATTTTTCTAAGATATATTAATCATATCAAATCATATTTTTTTGCGGAATTAAATGAAAAAAAAAATTATATGAAAATTATAAATCTCGGTACCGACGGTTCGGATGGGCTAAAACCAGCCAGCGAGTCCGTCCCTCCTTTCTTCTCTCACAAGTAGATCTCGCATTAACCTCTCCCGAGTCGCGTGTCCCCCTCCCCAAGTTCTCACAAACGCAAACCCCAATCTCGCCGTCACCGCCCCCAATCTAGCAAGCGCAAAACTCATCTCGCCGCCGCCGCCACCGCCGCGATGTCTCGCCGCTATGACAGCCGCACGACGATCTTCTCGCCGGAGGGGCGTCTCTACCAGGTGGAGTACGCGATGGAGGCGATCGGCAACGCCGGGTCGGCCCTCGGGATCCTGGCGGCCGACGGCGTGGTCCTGGTCGGCGAGAAGAAGGTGACCTCCAAGCTCCTCCAGACCTCCCGCTCCGCCGAGAAGATGTACAAGATCGACTCCCACCTGGCGTGCGCCGTGGCCGGGATCATGTCCGACGCCAACATCCTCATCAACACCGCCCGCCTCCACGCCCAGCGCTACGCGCTCTCCTACCAGGAGCCCATCCCCGTCGAGCAGCTCGTCCAGTCCCTCTGCGACACCAAGCAGGGGTACACCCAGTTCGGAGGCCTCCGCCCCTTCGGGGTCTCCTTCCTGTTCGCCGGGTGGGACAAGCACCACGGCTTCCAGCTCTACATGAGCGACCCATCTGGCAACTACGGCGGGTGGAAGGCCGCCGCTGTTGGGGCTAACAGCCAGGCCGCACAGTCCATGCTGAAGCAGGACTACAAGGACGGCTTGACCCGCGAGGAGGCCGTCGCTCTTGCACTCAAGGTCCTCAGCAAGACCATGGACTCCACCAGCTTGACTGCCGAGAAGCTGGAGCTGGCCGAGGTGTTTCTGCAGCCCGGCACTGGGGAGGTACAGTACCAGGTGTGCTCTCCTGAGGCGCTGGGGAAGCTGCTTGCAAAGTCCGGCCTGACACAGCCAACACCCGAGGCATAATGTTCTGGTTTGCTGTGGCTTGTGATGCCTACTACTGCTCTTAGACATGGTTTAAGCAGTTATGCTTCTGTTGTGTGAACCTAAATATTTGACGATTATGTGGTCTGATTTTATGTTGAGCATCCTTGATCTGTTAATGTTTCATCTGTAACAGTGGATTGCCTTGAACTGGTTGCAAATTGTTGATTTCTATCTGCTCTACTTGATTATTATCGTGATTAGGGAGCATGTGGTTCAATGGAACAGGGAAAATTAGGTTCAGATCTGTGACAGTTTAAGGCATCTGGATGATACCAACTGTGGTTAGAAACATGGCAAAATTTTGGAGTGCTTATGTGCTCTAGTAACTATGACAATTTAGGCCTCTGGATGATGCTACTGCTTTCATCAATTGTGCTCAGTAAACTAGGCAAAATAGTAGGGTATTCTATGTCTTTCAGATTATCTTTATGCTTCTGTGCTTGAATTGTTGTTTGCCATTAGGACTTATGGGTGACAGAGGGCAGTGGGATGACTTATGGGTGACACAGGTCAGTGGGATGAAAATGTTAAGAACCATTTGTATGACCAGACCATGACAATACAATGCATCAGGATCATATAACTGTAAAGCCAAAAAAAGAAACATGCTTCATATCCCTGTTTTTGTCAACTGTGCTTAAAAACAGCTAATTTTTTTTGTGGTGTTCTGTCTGATTCAGATTACCTGTATGGTTTGGTGCCAACCATATGTTGAGTATTCAGTGTTATTTTTTAAGAGAGCTTCCAGTTATAGTTATCTCACGACAAGACGATAACTTTTGTGGTTTGGTTGCAGCATTGTCTCGACAGCATTTTTCCATGATTAGCCACTCATTACATCATGACCCAGGCTTTTGATTCCCTCTTGAAAGATTATTTTGTACCTTGATTGACTAGAATCATTTGGTTGATAATTCATATCAATTGGTTATATCAAGTATCATCAGGACTCGAGAGTGTTGGTGTAATGGTGTGATGCATAGTGATCTGCCTGACCACTTCTTGATACCTTGGGCAACTCATTGCTGTGAACTTGAAATTCTGGTGCTACCACAATTTATTATTGCAGATTTCATCCAGTTTCTTGTTGCATAGTGTTCCTTATCACTTGGCATTTGATGCCATCAGATTATGGTGACTCTAATTTTTTGGCATATAAGTAAAATTTTATTCTCCTTGTCTTAAACTAGTTATATTCTTGCTTAAGGTACTCCGTCCATTCCAAATTGTAAGTCGTTTTAGCTTTTCTAAATACAATTTGTTTTTACTATGTATCTAGACATAATGTATATCTAGGTAGGTGTTATGAGTAAAAGCTATGTATCTAGAAAAGCCAAAACGAATTACAATTTAAAACGAATGGAGTACCAAATTGCAACAGTTAAGAGGTAAAATTGCATGACGGATGGAGTACCAAATTGCAACAGTTAAGAGGTAAAATTGCATGTCTTTGGTCACAGGAACGGTTGAATCGTTGAATGTTTCGAATAGATTTTGCTTCAGTTTTGTGGTGTTCTTAACTTCCATCTCGTAGCTTTGTAGATTGTGGTATGGTTTTTTTCTTTTGGAAACCTGATATATGTGTATGCTTCATGATCGAATCATTTACTGTTCTCCAGCTGGATTTGTGATGTATCTGCAAGTTGTGTTACTTGAATCTTTGCTTATCAATGTATTTCATATTATTGCCTAGTAGACAAGAAAATGCTTAAGTTAACGATAGTTTTGGTTTGATGGTAGGGTCACGATCCATGAATAAGATTACGTAAAATGGTATTAATCCATTGAGTTTTTGTCGCAAGCCATGCGCTGACTAGTCATAAACTCACAATTACCGGAAGTCGGGTGATGACCTGTTTTGTTTACTTGGAACTGAACTCGACAAAGTAGTGGGGAAAAAGCACATCTTTAATCCACAGCTTTGATTGGATGGGATCCAAGGAGGGCCATTTTGTGTGGAACTATTGAAATCAAATCACTTGTTGCTGTTACTCAAGCAGTTTATTTCGTGGAACTACTGAACTCGATCTCTTACCGTTACTCAGACAGTTTGTGTCAGGTCTATCCCGTTGTGACCTCTGGCCTCTTTCGCAGTTGTAAAAATAAATAACAAGTTGACAATTATGGTAGCCAATAAAAAACCAAAAGGTAGAACTGCAACATAACGCTCCGGCGGCCGTTTGCACAATACATACTTTTGCTTGTTTCCAAAGTAACTTAAGAAGCATGAAAGGAACTTAGAAGAATTTCATGCAAAACAAATACAATGCAAGCACAGATTCAAGGTAGAACTGCAACATAGAACGCTCCAGCGGCCGTTTGCACAATACATACTTTTGCTTGTTTGTAAAGGAACTTATGAAGAATTTCATGCAAAACAAATACAGTGAAAGCACAGATTCCAAGGAAGTTCGATCAGCAAATAGGCAACACATGTAAAAAGCAAATTGACAACACTGTAAAATGTGACGCTTTGGACGCACGGAAGTTAAATCCTCCCGACAAGAATACTACAATGAGAAAACTGGATTACTTTGATCAAAGAAATTTGCATATTATATCAGTAGCAGAATGTCTAGATAATTTCCTGGGTTACAATCATCGTGAAACCAAACTGGAGACCTAAAATCAGACTCGGCACACGCAAAGGCAACTGTACATCCATGCCATCTTGGCACACGAAACACCCACACGCACAGACAAAAAACATGGGCCCATTCGCATGCCATGGAAATTGAAGAATCGGCTATATACATACATCAGACGAACTCCTCGATCCTCATGCCATTGGACGCTTCACAAGCGAAACCCATTTCCACCAAAGGTAGACAACAGATGAAGAGATCACCGCTGCAGCTATGCAAAGTGCAGCAATGCCCGCAACTATTCCTCTTCGCTTCTCATCCTGTCGTGCAGAATCAGAACTTGGTGCTCGTGGGGGACTGATCGTCGGGTCTTGGGAACGGGCAACTGTGAAATCAAGCATTTCCTAGTCAGCTAATGGTTTTATATTATGCGAAAATGTGATGAGAGACCGACAGATGCTAGGGACATGTTCTAAAGCTACCTTTTATTGCTGACACCAGTGGCCCATAAGCTCCTTTATATGGGATACAGCAGGTACCACGTCCACTCCAATACAGATGTATTTCCAATATGGAGTTGTTAACAGACACTTCCTGGGTTATGTTGGTGCCTTTTCTGGAACCCCCAGCTTCCTTAGTAATGTCAAAATCCTTCCTGATATTTTGATTCTGCAATTAATTGATCAAATAAACGTATGCTTTGTTTACTGGATATGCAAAAATCATTTTTCTCGTTAGGGATATATCAAACCTGAATATCAATGTCAAATAAGCGCCGTCCAGGTCCATCAGTTATTACTATCTCTGCAAAGAAGAGTTTGACTGTATATCTCCCGTTAGCCAAACCTACGACATAGTACCGCAACGAGCTTGTTGACGTTCTTGCTGTTTTGTAGAGTTCTGGCATGTCTGAATCCAAAATATTGTCTATATTTACGATACCGGCAGATTTATTGAATGGATCAGAACCCACGTGACTGGTTACCCAATGACTGGTGGTGTTAACATAAAAGCCTGCTCCTCCAAGATCAGTTAAGTCTTCCGAGAACACAGTTGGCATTTGATCTGAATAATCAATTTGCTTGCCACCACAGTTTATGGCGAAAGTTGCATGATCTGCTCCTGCTGTATTATCAATTGATGATATAAAGACAAAAAGTTGCACAAAATATGTTAAATACTATGGACTGAAAAAAATTGAGTACAACATTACAAGCAGCAGTGTCTGATACGTCATAACCACGTAGATCAACATCATAATGGACAAACTTACACTTTCTTAGCTGCATGCCATAAATGTTAGTTTTCTTCTTCTTTTGGCGCAAGTTAGCCTCAGTTGCAACAATCAATTTCATCACCACGAAAAGTGTGGCATGCTAGTGGCCTCGGAAATTTGGAAACACAGGAATGTTGTATTTTTAATGTGTAAATTCAAGTGTCGCATCAATGTTTTAGACCGTGGCAAATGAGAGTATCTTGTGGTGCTCGGCTGGAGCATTAGGGCTTCAAGAGTTTCTGGTCAGGTCGCTAATCATGGACAGGTGATTCCTGTCCTCAGGTTTGTTCATGTTGCCTCTAGTTGTTAGCAGGCTGAAACCTGGCTTTCGTGTTCAAAGTTTATCGGGGTCTGTTGTTAGTGTGTGCACCTTCGATGTGCTGGGGTTGGGGGTCAGGAGTTCACTCCCTCTCCCTTGTACATTTTTTTATTTCTCTTAAGGCCCGTTTGGATCCCATGAATTGAAACCAATATCTAGAAAGTGCTTCTCATTTCATTATTAGATTATTTTCCAATGCCTCTAAATTCCTGGAAACCAAACAGGGCCTGAAATGGTACACAGCTCTCCTACGTGTTCAAGAAAAAAAAAGCATGGCATGCAACACTTGCTTAAGGCTAGTTTTGTAACACTTGGCATGATCCAAACAGGCTCAGCAACACTCCATAAAACTTGCTGCAAATTTGCTCTGTGCATCTTTAATCTTTTGTCGAGTATAAGAACCACATTGATTTAGAATTCTAATTTGGATTATCTGGTCAAGAGTTTGAAAATGCACCTAACCAAGTCACCTGCTTTCTTTTACTTCATCATTCAAAAAAATCATGCACACCTTGTATGAAGCCCGTTAAAATAAATACTGCCTATCATATAGATATTTGGATCTTAACAAAGATAATTAAACACCAATGTCAAAGTTTGAGAATGAATAAGGGCAGGGTGCATTAATCCTCTAAAAGAAACTCAAGTCAATGCAGAAGTAAAATCAACAGTTTGAATATCCAAAGAAGGCAATGTAAAGCAGCCATCATCTCTTGCTCCCCTCCGGTCACCTTCCCTTCCCCGACGCTAGTACCCACAATTGTCCGCCTGTTAGAACCCCTCTGCCCCCACGATCCTAATCCTGAGCTACTGCCCTTCACCAGTAAATTCCCCTCCACATCAACTGCCTCGTGCAGCTGTCCTCAAGGATCTACCGGCATTGCAGGCTGATGCCATGTTTCATTGCTACCAAGCTCGGCGCCACCCAAACTATCGAACCTGTGTAGCACAGAGCTCAATTTCCGAGCATGATCTGTGGACACCTCCCATCCCATGGAATCCACAATGCATATCAAGGAAGAAAATTTGGAACTGACAGAGAAGGGGGAAGGCTATCCTCTTTGCATTCATCTAGTAAGATGATAAGAACGCTGCCATATGGTAATCATGAAGGGTCACAACAGCTCCTCCATAGTTGAGCTGGCCTGCATATCCACCAATCGATGTGGCCTGCTGAACCATCAACACCACACATGCAGCTGAACCACCACAGTTGCAAGCCTGCTAGATGCGACACTGCATGTCTGCATCATCTACTTCACCTATGCTGACACCACAGGCAAATGCAGGAACACCCTTCAGATAAGATATTGCCACCTCTGGCACGCTACCATTATCTGGGGCAGATTTCACCAGATTCGAACCCTCCAACCTCTGTCCCAGACCTTTGTCACCAAGTTCCTGGGTCGATAGGGACGCAGTATGCTACTAGAGAAACGTTTTGACAAGATGGGGACGAGACAGTTCCTGCCTTCTTGGAATAGGAACAACATTCCTGAGACAAAGAAACGAAGCAAATGAAATTGTCCAGGCCTTGTGTGGGATGCACCTATTCACGCATGTGGACATAGCCCAATCGCAAAGTAAGGATGTGCACAGCGATGGAGCACAGGCAGCAGGAAGGAGGAGGTGGAGGCTTGGATTGATGGAGGAGCTGGGGGTGTTGGGGCAGGATGATGAGAAGAGAGAGAGAGGAAGCTAATGTGGACTTAACATTAACCTTTGTCATGTGGGGTTGCATCCTCCGCAAGTAGAAGAACAATGATCGACCAGGTAGTTTGGTTCCTTAGTCGGTGTCAGGTTATGCAACCTTGTTCAAGTCTAATCCGAACAGTTGATTTTCAATCCTGTGGTACAGTGCTAGATGAGCAAGAACCGAAAACTACAGAGGTAGTAAAGTAGTGCTACGGAGGCAATTTAGCCTTCTGAGTGAAGTATTTGGGTTGGGGTCTTTGGATGTTGTTAACTGAAAAAGACGGTGATGAAATATTTCCTAACATCAGACCTTTGTGATGGCATTTTGAGGTATGTATCAGCAACTCGATGGCCATTGCAGATGATATGTAAAAGGTTTCGTCATGGAATTTTTAACAATCAGCAACTCCATGGCTGAAAAGTAGTGCTGAATAAGCTCAAGCAAACATGACGAATATCTGATTCTGATGCTACGTATATGAGCACTAGCAACCCAATAATCAGAAGTGGCATGCTCAAAGATCAAAAGTACAGATTTGTGTAGAACTTACTAGTTACACTGCTTCCATTGCATCCTTTCATGCGAAGGCAGTTGAGGATGGTAAGAATTTCACTGCATGGTAATACAGCAAAGTGAGAAATATGCAGCATATTACTTTCAAATTACAAAATAATGCAGTATTGCAGTGATAAATCTACTCCCTCTGTTCCAATTTCCAAATTATAGCTCACTTTAGCTTTGTCATGAATCAAACTTTACTTTGACCAAGTGTTTAGAAAAATGCATGTTTAAACAAATGCATGTCAGGCATATTTCATGTAGAATTTAATGAAACTAATTTGATGTAGCAGATGGTGGTGCATTTTCGCATAACTTGGTCAATGTTAGAGAAGTTTGACTTAGGACAAAACTTAGTGACCTCTCTTGGAATTTGGAATGGAGGGAGCACTTCCTATCAGTAGGCCAATTTCAAGACTTATAAACTTTATAGAGGTAGCAAAGCCACCATGATGCTAGAAATTCGTTTACCATATCATTCTTGTCGATAATTTACTATACACTCCAAACATTCTACTGGATCATTCAATTCGCTCAGCAAAAATTTTGTTCTCTAAAATGCAAAGAAAGTCCAAATTGTTGGGAAATCTTCTACTGCAATGTAAGCCAGTAGATCAATGAAGAATATTTGCAATATCATTGATAATCTCTTTCATGGTCCTTCAATTCTCCCACAATTTAGGTATTTATTTGAAGTGCATGAAGATAATAGAGAAGCTACATGGAACATGTGATTGTGCTGGTTCAGTTTTCTTACTAACAAAAGGAGCATAGTGAACAGCAGGTTGATATTAAAAAAGGGAATGGCTTTTGCAGTACTGTATGAAAAGTTCTCTTTAAAAGCAGATATTTTAACCTTCTTCACCCTTGAAAAAACAGGAAGCACACCTGTAGTGAATTCTATCTAGATTTCAAAACTTCGTATACTACTTTAGGAAAATCACATGGCGCCCTCGTTCTAAAATACCATGTTGCAATGTTTCAAAAATCATCACAAAAATCATATATGTAGTACACCGAAACTTAAGTGTAGCCGCAACAATTCAGTTTGAAATTCATCTTTGATGCTGAGATTAAAAAAAATAAGTGTCACTGTCAGCACATGATGAACAGTGCCAGGTTGACTACTTGTCTATTTTGTTTCTTGGCATCTAGGATGAATTTCAAACTGAATTGTTGCGGCTATACTTAACTTTATGTGTACTACATACATGATTTTTGTGATGATTTTTGAAACATTGCAACATGGTAGTTTATCTAACGAGGGCACCAGCCCTCCTGGGCACCAAATCTGCACTCACTACTTTAAGTCTTTAATAAACAATAACTAAAAAAAATTTTACACCAAAATATTATCAAAGAACTCATGATGGTTATTTAAATGTTTGTTACCTGTTGACTGTTCCACTGGCATCAACTGAAGTTCCAATATAATTTCTATACAGGACATGTTTGCAAAACAATAGGTAAGATTGCTATATAATCAGTCTAATATCTGAAAATATCAAAATAATGATTGATATACTGAGGGAAAAAAGAAAGAAAATTTACATGGGCCACTTCTGACCAGCAACGACAGTAGGAAGGGATCCGTTAACAAAACGATTGTATGAAACATCCCTGGAGTGTTTATTCCAAAATAGAGAAGAGTCAGATATGCTTAAGATCAGTCTGCGCTGGACAAAAGATCATTCAGAAACAGAAAAATTGTAAATACATGTTTTACTTAAGAGAGAATTCAAAGCAGATCCTGAAGAATCACAAAAAATAGAACATGACACCAGAAGGAAAACCAAGTAGAAACGTGACACCAGTCCCAGTTCAGATCCAATGTGTGCAAGTTCCTATCTTCACTATATGCCTAGACCTCAACTGTTTTAAGAAGTTATTCTAACTGACTCAGTTCGAAATTTGATCTGATTAAAGTAAAGAATTTAGGACGTACAACTCGGCACTACCTATGGCCTACAGGTTACGTATTTTTCAAGAACGTGCATTATTGCATGTGTTTCATTAAGCAAAAGCTACAGTGACTAGCCGGATGGTTGCCTATAGCAAAAAGCAAAAGAAAACAAGGAGTACAGACAGGCAGAAACAGGGTCAAGGAAACTCAACCTAATAACACTACAAACTACAGTGACTAGCCGGATGGTTGCCTATAGCAACAGTGCGGCACCACAAGAGGGGTAACTGGAAGGGAGAGGAGATCAAACATCAAATCAACGGGTTAAGCTAACGTGTTTCATCTGTTAACAAGAAGCTTACTAACAACCATCTCCTCGCCTATGCTTTAATCTCCTCCACGAGCTGTATCGACTAAAGCGAGACTCCCTGAAAAAGACCCGTGCATTGTCAAAGGTGGTTTTGCCAGGTGGATTTAACATTTATGACATTCATCAACCAGTGCAAACACTTTAGGCAGAAAAGAAAAGAAGCAATAACAACTTACAAAGAAACGTTTTGTTGAACAATTTCAGGAGGCAGGCGTTCACTGAAGCTGTTTTCACCTATATATCTAATGAGTAAAACTTCATTAGCAAACTGGGAAACTCAAGTATCATGGAAATTAAAGTCATGCAGGAGAATGGCAAGATTACGTATGAAGTGTTAACATATCATCTGCAGATTGTTAGAACCAAAACACAGGTTTGGGGCTGAATTTCAGATTTCATTAGCCATGCCACAACTGTGGTAGGTTGAGGATACATATAGGATAGCTTGCTTGAGCCTTAAGAAAGCTACAGCATATTCTAGACTCTAGAGATGCTAAAGTAGATGCTAGGGATAAAGATAAGGGCTGACACAGCCACCAACTACTCTAGATAAGTATCCTAAGTAGATAAGGACAAGACTTATAGCTGTCACAGATAGCATAGGCATACATTCTTGATTCTGAGTTCGATGCTAGAGAATATTGCGCAATGCTGCCTATACATATTTGCATCAATACCTCAAAACCTCCTGCCAAATTTCATGATAAACCTTGAAATGTTGTGTTTGTTATCTCTATTTTGAATTATTTTATGAAGAACATCTCTAATTTTCAGATTACATGCATGAACTGAAGCTCTTTAAACTACAAAGGTTAGGGAACCGACAATGGTGGGAAGTGTGGGTGTACACCTCCACCACCAACGATCAAGTCCTTTTCAACTCAAATGGGTGCCTATTTCTTTTTATTTACAATGTCTGCTAGTTCCTCCTAGGGTGGTCAAATTTCTTAAACTACAAGATTAACATATTTTTTAAAAGTGAAGATGACTTCCCATATGTAAAAATCTAAAACTAGGAAATGGCTATGTTCACATTTCATATCTATTTCAATAACCAGACAAAGTGACGGGCAATAATATATCTAGTACTGGAGGAGATTTGAGTTGGTAAATGTTCAGTACTTCTCCTGCCAACTATCTTGGGGAAACAACATAATGAAATAGGAGACAGTAGTTTAAATGCCTACCTAGACTATTTGGATTCCAAACCTCATGCTATAGAGATAAACAGAAATATGCAGTAGAATTCGAAAGCCAAAGCTACTGAATTAATGGTTATACACTTAGGTTCTTAAATTTTACTGCAACCATTACCAAGCTTATGTTAGGCAAAAGTTCCACCCCTAATTCTAGGAAGGTGTCATATTAACATATCACACTTATATGTATCACTCAAGGATTCAAACTCCATCTTACATGAAGCTTGAGTTCTTATATGGAAGCAATAGTCTTAAAGAGCCTGATAAATTGTTCGACGTCAAATCCCTGCAGATGATGTAAAATTGCCTTTCAAAATCATGACAAAACAAATATAAAAAGTATGAAATGTTTACTTAACATTATGGACGGCACTTTTCCATAGTAAGGAAAGTAAATTAGTGTGTAACCGCATAATACTATAGCAAACCTAAGAACACGATAAAATGTCAGTGCCTAGATGGCATATGAAATATTTTACAGCCACCAGTGTCTTCATGAAAAGATAACTTAAAATTGAAGTAATATTCAAGAACATACAAGATCTGGCTAACCTAGCTATTAGCAGTGTCTTCATGGAAAGGGTATGCATAAAATCTGTTCATATCATTTATCTTTTCAAGCTGATGCTAGATAATTGTAGATAGAAATAATATAAAGACAAACTAAAAAAGTATTCAAACTGCAAAAACATTAAGAATATCAGTCCTATTACAAGCCAGTGTTAATGATATGGATTGGGTTTAGAAGGTGAACATCCATCAGAGAAGAGCCCGACGGCGACAGTTTGGTGGTAGAAAGCGCTATTGAAAGAAGTTGCTAGACAAAGAAGGGAACACAATGAAGGGGAAGCACTAAGCTGAGGGAACACATGAGGGATGAGAGGGAATTTTACTTTGATTATTCATTGCTAGCTAAGTCCCAAAGTGATACATGGTTGCCACTTAAGTAGGCTGCACCCTTGAGAATCGACTAACAAACTCTTATCTCTATAAGCCATTACAAGATAACGAGCAGCTAACCAGTCCTGCATGCACACTAACAAAACTAACAACTTAAAGCTCCTGCTAACACGCAAGTAGCTAAATAGTTCAATCCTAGAACAAACGACAGGTGAAGCTTGTGCCTGTTTGCTTTAAAGCCCTGCCAGGCAGCAAGAAGCCCAGGCAGCAATCTCCACCCCAGGCTCACAAAATCCAATGCCTGGGAATGCATGGAGAGCCAGGCAAAGTTGCCTGGGTTCGAAGCAAACAGGCAGCGCCTGTGCTGATGCCTGGCCATGCGGTGCTGTGCAAGCCAAAGCTCATACCATTACACCACTTATATTATTTAGCATAACAAAATAAAATCATTCTATTCAATCAGAAGTTTTAGAAACTCACAGGTATGTCAGCTTGGGCAAGTTTGGGGGAGTATTGGGAAGTTGGCCTGTGAGCCCACACTTCCTCAGAGATCTGCATAATAAAAAGAAAGCATCCAGTAACTGCATTAATCACTACTATGCTATAATTCATTAAGAGTATGGTGAAACTTGACATACAACGTTGAAAGGTTTGCCCACTCTCCTATGACATCAAAATAAGAATGGTTGCCACCAAGATCACCAAGCATCCTGAAAGGAAATTCAGATCAAAGATGGCGGTGTATGCTACATATTGCTATTACAATAATATTGGTGGCTTCTACTTCTACCAAATAATAATGATGTTTTTCTTCAACAACAGATAAGAATTTCTCCAGATCAGATGACTAACTTCTAAATACATTGACTCCAATATTTACCACAGCACTGAAATTCAAAATAAATGGAGGGGGTATCATTTAACAGAAGTAACCATTAGAGTGACTTACAAGACTTCTAGATTGGTCAAATTTGAGAATTTTTTTGGGATAGGTCCTTGAAGTTTCGTCCCATATATACGCCTAGCAAGATCACGGCATTAGATCTCAAAGATTGGAAAGGAAGGAGTTGTTCCTAACAACAACAAACCAAGTGGTTATGCATACAAGTCTGTGAGACTGGTTAAGTTCTGAATAAATTCTGGAATAAGCCCTTCAACATTATTATCAAATATCCACCTGCATAATCAACCACAAGATTAGTTATTCTTTCTTCAAATTGGATGACATAGAAGGTTACTGAGTATATCGAAAACAAAGGGACATAAGGCACACTTACAGGGACTTTAGATTTCTTAAAAGTGATGATTCACGAGGAAAAGATCCACTGAGATTGTTATTGTTGAAGTGCCTAGCTATATGGAGAGCATTCAATCAGCTATGACTCTATGGGAAGATCAAATATCTTTGCTGACAAATCATTTTGAAATTGAGAAGGCTTGAGTGCTAGCCTATAAGGGTTAAGTCTTCTCATAAGATATACAATTTATACGTAAGCATCCACTATTGCATCACAGTTCACAGACTAGTTACTTGAATTACACCAGCTAAACTAATACAGCTACAATCTGATCATGGGATATTGTAGACACCAGGTCAAGGATGTAGGATATTATTTTATTTGAAATTTGCTAAGCTAATATCACAAAGTATCACTGTAACTTGAGATAGACAACAACAATAAAGCCCTCTTAATCCCAAGCTAGTTGAGCTAGGCTGGGCTAGATTTGAGATAGAGAAAGCAGAATAAGCATACATTTCTTAGATAAAGAATCACTTATTGTATTCAGCTTATCAGCTATATATCATGTCTGCAGCTGTTATAGATGCATGGCAGGGATGTAGTGTTGTACTATTGTGGTCCAATCAAGTAGGAAAACTTTAATCATTCTGTTAGCAGTAGGTTGAATTAATAGCATTCAGCAAGATGGACCATCAATACATACATTCTGGAATAATACAACAACAATGGCTCAATGAAGAGCTAAATAACATGTACAGGCTTATATTTAGGGGAGCAAGTACGGTTATCACCATGTTTCCAGTTTGGAAAGATTGCCAACTTCTGGGGGTATTAAACCATTCAAGTTGTTATTACTTAAATCCCTACAAAATGAAATAGGAGGCGACTTACAATCATATTGAAATTCCTATTCTCACAAGAGAATGCATAGAACCATATTGACAATCAAGGGTAAGGGGAAAAAACAGGGTTATAATAAAGCTGGTAGAGCTTAAAAATGGTAGCCTTAGGTCCAAAACAAGTGTTATAATTGAAAGTGCATTTGATCAGCAAATACTTGTCAGTTTGGTTGTCCGAGGCAACACTTTCCACGAAATAGCCCTACTCATTGCTTCTCAGTAGAATGGCAGTGGTGTTATACTGTTCGAGAATCTATGGTACAATTCGTAGGAGCAAAGTATGTTGCTCCAATAGAGCTAAAATGACAACTACAATAGGATAGGAGGGAGTCATGGTAGACAAGCTTTTTGTCATGTATACTAACAGTTTGGTAGGATGAGATCAGATAGTTTTTCAATTAGATGCTATGTATTACATGGATATCTGAGATACCAAAATACTAAAAAGTACCAAAGCTAACAATGACCATAGGTACATTCATGTCTGGTATATTCCTCTGGGCAGTAAAACACTGGATGTTAGCACAAGTCCATATTTTCATGAAAATCTTAGTTATAGGCCTACTCTTTTTAAGTAAACTCGGATATATTCTTAAGTAGTTTGTCGTGGTGCAATTTCAAGCTCCAGAGAGAGTAGTCATTACTTCAAGAAACCATTTTAATCTAACATCAAGCTCCCTAAAGCATTTGCAATTGTACAGCATGAACCATCGATTCAAAAACTCACAGAGAGACGAGCTCCGTCAAATTGAAGAGAGCCAGCGGGATCTCCGTGATATTCCTGTACCCAGTCACATTCCTGCAGCATCCGGAGATTCCAGACCCACACATCAATCCCAGGTACACATAGGCATCAGCATCAAATGGGAGAAAGAGTGAAGACGACGCACAGGCCCGTGATTCGGCACCGGTTGAAGGCCCAGCTGAAGGCGGGGCAATTGCAGTCGATAGACGCGTTTATTTCGAACGACCCGGACCAGACGCGCTTCATGCACGGGTCCTCCGCCGCCGCCTCCCCCTCCAGTCGCCACTGCCGGAACACAGCGTGCAGGGCATCCGCTGCAGGAACGCGAGATCCACGAGTTACTAGCTGCCAACTTTCTCGTCGCCATTACACAACCTCAGACACCACAGAAGGAGCGAGAAATCGATACCGTCGGAGGGATCGGTGGGCGGGAAGGGCTGTTGGCCCTGCGCCAAGTCCAGGGTGAGGAGCGCGAGGACGAGGAGAAAGCCGGCGACGAGAGCAGAGGCGGAACGAGCCATGGGGGCCGGCGTGGGGCGCGGCGGCCGCAGGCGGGAGTTGACTTGTGCGCGCAGGAGGAGGTGGAGGAGTGGTGGAAGGAGCACAGCATTGGGTTGCTGCTGTGCTAGTACTTGCTAGCGGAGCGGGAGGGCTGGGTCTCTCTGCCTCTGGGGTTTGACCGCGTGATCATGTGCGCCCGCGGAGACGAGGTCGTGAGGGTGCAGGTGGAGTTGACGCGACCGCGTCGGGGAGTGGGAGGCGGGAGATCCGGTCGGCGACGGGAGATGCGGCGGGGCGGTGGCGCCGGTTTCGACGTTTTTGGGCGATGCGAAATGGCAGACGAGCTGTGGGGAAGGAAGAGGCTGGCGCAGTGGCGCTTCGTGATGAACGAAATTCGGCTGGACCATGGCCTCGTTTAGATTGTAAGTATTAAATATAGATAAAAAAATAACTAATTACATAGTTTGATTGTAAATTACGAGACGAATCTTTTAAACCTAGTTAGATCATGATTGGACAATAATTGTCAAATACAAACGAAAGTGCTACCATGCCAAATACTGATTCCTAACCCCAATCTAAACAAGATCCATGTGTAAATACTGATCGCCGTACAAGAGGACAGAGGACTCACCACACATGACATAAATAAATAAACAGGACTGATAGCGTCCGGACGTCTGTGCGTACAGTTTTTTTTCACGCCGTTTTGCACGCCCACGTGAGATCCATGCCATCCCGACTTCCCGAGCATCATCAGCGTCGAAAAAATGGAGGAGACAGCGGATGTCCAGCCGGCACCGGGAGAAAGAGACATCGAGGCGTGGCAGCAAAAGACGGGAAGCAGATACAACGCTCAATCGATGGTTGGTTTCTGGGCTGATAAATCTGGCTGGTGCTGGTTTGCTGTGAGAGAAAAATACTGTTGACTAACTGATAAACCCTGGCTGAAACCAACCAGCGAACAGGCTGTTTGAAACATTCAGACACAAAGCTTGCAACATATGTATGAAAGCAGATAAAAAACACTTGAAACATGCATTTGAAACATTTGCAGAAATACATGAAAACACTGAAAACATTGAAAAACATTCGTGACGGGGAGGGAAGTGGATCTAGCGCAGGGCTTGACGGTCGGTCGCCACGCGCCACCACCGCGGGAGCCTTCGTGCGGCCAGGAGAAGGGAGCGGGTGAGCGGCGTACGACCGGGGGGAGTTGGGTTGTGGCCGTGTTGTTGGACTGTATCCCTTCGCTGGACCGTGAGGATAGCGAGCAGGACAGAGAGAGTCAACTGACCTGGGGAATGTGGGGATTGGGGACGCCTGCGACGACCGAGCGAGCGGAGTAGCCCGAGTGGCGGTGGAGCAGCGAGCAGGAAGTGAGCGACCCTCTTGATCGCCGCTCCAAGCGCATCAGCGAGCGGAAGGCTACGCCAGGACGTTCAGACGGTATGTAGCGTTCGACCATGGTCCGCATCCTAGCAGCAGCGGCCGCGTCCGTCGCAGGCCGTTGTCCGCCACCACCGGCGCCGTGCAACGCTTCCATCTATTTTGAAACATTCAAAGATTTACGACACACATCTAAAACAGATAAAACATTTAAAACTAACGCTTAAAACATGCGTGTATAGTCATAGCAATATATGAAACTATCTAAATCTACTTTTGCAACATCCAGATGAAACACTTGCAACATAGGCCCTCTTCGCTTCTCTTATAATCCATACTTTTCAGCTTATTTTTTTTAGCCGGAACAGTGTTTTTCTTTCACAACAAATCTGCCGGAACAGTGTTTCGTCTTATTTTTTCAGCGAAGCGAACGGGGCCATAAATATGAAACATACGAAACACTTCACATGAAACATGCGGGTAGAGCCATAGCCATATATGCAACATTCAGATGAAACACTTGGAACAAACGTATGAAAACATATAAAACACTTAAAACATAGACTTGCAACATACGTATATTATCATTGCAACATATACAATATCCAAGATCTATTTTTACAACATCCAGATAAAACACCTAAAACATAAGTCTAAAACGTCTGAAACACTTGAAACACAGCGTCACCGACGATCATGGTCTACCTAGTGGGGACTGCGCTAGCAAGCAACCTCGGGTCAGGAGGGGCGTCGAGAGCTGTCCATCGTACACCCAGACGCAAGCGCAGGCCTCCCCATCCAGTCGCGGGTGTATTCGCCCGGCCGCTGTAATACCCTAGGGGTTAGGCTTGCATAATTTCACTTGCATTGCATGAGCATAATCATCAAGCATCCATATATAAGCTTTTACATATGAAACGTATGACTGAAATATGTGAAACATGCCTTGTTATTTTATGTTTCTATGTGTATGCTTATGATCATGTGTGAATAAGTGTAAGTGGTTGATGTCGGTCACTAAAACACCTTAGCTACACTTAAGATGACTAATAAAATAATGTTCATGTAGATCACTTTGTCTAATTAAACTCCTAAGTGATGATATGCTTGTTGACCAAGGAAGTATTATATGTAACCAATGTATGAAATGCTTGTGTGACCTTAGGAATACCCTAAATATGTTTAGAATATCACTATGAACAACTTTGGTATTCATGACTAGAGCTAGTTTGGTCTCTAAGTCATAGTTGTAGTGTAAGTCATCATTTGAAAGTGGTATGTTTGACCTAGGTTGAACTAGGTCATAGAGCCTTTGCATGGATGTGTGCATTAAATCAAAGTTGTAGTATTTGATGAGAGCAACAACTTTTATTTTTGGGTCATGAGCTAATTCGGTGCCTAGCTTGGTCATTTGTAGCTCACAAGAATCAACATTTCATAAGTTTCCAACACTTAGAAATTTTCTAAGTCCAAGTGCGTTTACAGTTTCGCCGTGCTGACTTTGTGATGATTTTACTCTGTATTCATTGTGATTTAGACTTTGATCATGTAATCAATATTATAGATGATATATATGGCTACAACTTTTGGTAAGGAATATTTCGCTAATGAGCCATGGTTTAGAAGATTAAGGACGTCGATTTGGCGCTCTCAGGCTTCATCATGAGGCTCTGATGGCCGTCGTGTGTCGTGTCATGGTGGCCGACCACGAACAGGACTTGGCCGCTGCCTGGTTGCCGCTAGCCGTCGTCGGGCCTCCGCCGCGTTGTGCTGGCGCGCGCATAAGGAGACCACGCACGGCTCGGCTCAGTCACTCCTTCACGCTCCCTCACTCTCCATTGCATTCCTCCGCCTTTGCACTACCCGCAGCGCAGCGCCGCCGACGCCATTGCTGGCCGCTCGGCCTCGTATTGCGCCCGCGTCGCTCCTTCCCCACCGCCATAGCTCCATCGTGCTCCCACCGCCTCACTGCACCTGCCTTGACTAGCTAGCGGCGCACGGTAAGCCTCCGATGTAGCGTGCGGCCTTCGCCGTCGTTTTGCCGCCGTACCACGTCATCATGGCCGAGCCACCTCCGACCACCGCTTGCCATGATTGAGTGCGTGATAGATTCGTCGTAGTGTGTAGAAGCTCGTCCAAACCCTAGATGGTACCGTCTATCACGGCTATTATAAGAAATGCTTCTATCCCACCATGGAGGAGTGAGCCTTGGGCAGGCATCTTTAATAATCCTTCTATATGCTTTTGTGGATGGTGATCATGTGTTGGCATTGTATTTGAACTATGTTGGCAAATGCTACTTTCAAACTTTAATTTGCTTCCGCTACTATCTATCAAACTTGGTTTGTAATAATTTTATTTCATACTCTGACGAATGAACTGTATCTGTGAACCTTATGTAATATGTGACATGTATATTGAATCATGTACGATCTTGGTTGTATGTGGATCGTTTATTGAGACCCATCGTGGTACTCGACGGACTACCGAGTTTATATGGGCTCAAGTATGACAGTGCGACCGCTTGTGGGCTGCCATTGTACTTGTGCTCTTATAAATTGGTCGGTTCTACGACAGCTGACATCAGAGCAAGATTCAACATTAATTGCCACATATGTATTTAAAACAAAGGTTTTTGTTTTCCAAGACCAGTTTCTAGCAACTAATAGCTATATAAACAGGTATTTGAAACCTAGAGTTGAAATCTAAAGTGTGCCAGTGATCACTTTCTTTATGCACAATTAAGGACTCTTAGGTGGCTATTTAAGTACTAACATGGGGGGTTTTACTTTCGTCGTCCATACGGCATGCTATTGTATGGATGTCATTCACTTGAGTGGTAATGTATAGATCAAATGCCTCTACGTCAAGGTAAGAAGGTAAGTTGATGAGTGACATGACCGCAAGATGTGAGCATGCGGTTGGGGAGAGCTAGCTTTGATACGGCTGTGTATGCATGCTTGTATGTGTGTATGGTATTTAGTTGTGGGTAATAAATTGTTATCGGGTAGTTTTGATACGGAAGTATATGTATGGGTATACATATATGGAAGTATTTAGATTACAACCTAGAGCCTAGATTTACATTCTACATATATAATTGTGGGGTTGGGCTGAAATGAAATTCTTGTGCAGATACACTAACAGCGAAACGTGTAGCCCGACTAGCTACGCTATATATGAGAGAACGTATGTATGCCACCGTGTATGTCGTTAGAAATAATTTTTCCTAAGTTTGTGAGGACGTACGGAACGTGCATGCATCATGATAAATTATTATTTCTTACATTGTTCCTCCCCTTATAGATCTCTTACTCGGTTATGTAACTCTTACCCATTATGACTTTGTCTCACAAGAGTTGCATATGTTGTTGGTACAGATGGCAGCACCGATTGGAAGTGAGAGTTTCCTGTTAATGTTCGGAACTCCTGCTCTGCTTTGGAGAGTCTTGCACTATGCGGGGTATTATAAACCGCCCCTCTATCACTGGAATGAAGTATACCTAGAGGGACAGCCATGGTATGAAGTGCGGCTAACCATACCAGCTTGTACTCAAGCACCCTTCTGCCAGGAATAGAAGGCGGAATCTAAAGGAAGAACTCCTTGGGAGGCTGCCCAAGTAGTAGCCTT